CGGAATCTTTAAAACCCGGAACGAGAATCTCCGGAATCTTTAAAACCCGGAACGAGAATCTCCGGAATCTTTAAAACCCGGAACGAGAATCTCCGGAATCTTTAAAACCCGGAATGAGAATCTCCGGAATCTTTAAAACCCGGAACGAGAATCTCCGGAATCTTTAAAACCCGGAATGAGAATCTCCGGAATCTTTAAAACCCGGAACGAGAATCTCCGGAATCTTTAAAAGCCGGAATGAGAATCTCCGGAATCTTTAAAACCCGGAACGAGAATCTCCGGAATCTTTAAAAGCCGGAATGAGAATCTCCGGAATCTTTAAAACCCGGAACGAGAATCTCCGGAATCTTTAAAACCCGGAACGAGAACTCCGGAATCTTTAAAACCCGGAACGAGAATCTTCGGAATCTTTAAAACCCGGAATGAGAATCTCCGGAATCTTTAAAACCCGGAATGAAAATTTCCGGAATCTTTAAAACCCGGAACGAGAAACATGTAAACAGAAGGAGCAATAAAATAAATCCCGTTCTAAACAAGTGGTGTCATTCGATATCAACTTTTTTGACATAAAAACAGTCAATGTATGATAAAATGAGCCTGCCTCTTGAATTCTGTCGTTGGAATTTTCCAGATTCGGTCTAAAACGTGAAATAATGTTATTTGAATAGCCATGCTACAGTGCTACTACGCGCGCAATTTGTTAAATCAATGTCAAGTCTAAAATATCGTGAAAATCAAGCGTTATCGGATGCTTCTTATCCAGGCGAAATATTGGACCATCACCGAAGCCCTATTTTCTCTAAAAATGCGTTTTTCTTCGCCTCGTCGTGGTCCTTGTCCTCGCTGTCTAACCAATATATGAAATGTACATTGGAAATTGGAATACACTGGACAAGTGGCAGAAGGCATTCAATACGATCGAATTATGAAATGAATACATGTCCACATCCGTGGAAAAACGTTACAAAGTGAACTATCTTTTATGTAGTCGGGTGCATCATATCTTCTGTGATTAAAGCTGTTAAAAAGTAAGTTTTATCAAACCTAATATTACTATTAATATTGAGAGTAGTTTGGAAAAGCTAGCACTCAGTTCTAGCTTATATATATTAAACTGAAAAACACTGAAACGGTGAAACCCTTGCCCCCTAGCTCTCCTGCCCTACCATTTCAATGCCTAATGGTAGTTACAGGTTTGACGGGTACTCCCAGTGTATTTATAAACATTTTTGGTACATTTTTCCACCAGAGCCAGTAGGATGCACATAGACAGTCCAATCTAATTTATTCACACCAAAAATTTGAGCAGCTTTTGAACAAGTGAAATTATAACCATAATTTTTCCTCAGAAGAAAGAAATCAAAGGCCTAGCAATAACAATGTTAATTTAGCTTGTTCATTTAGCTTAATCCAGCACATACCTTGGCCTTTGATTAAAAAAGCAGCACTTGGTTTGTCACTAGCTATTTGTTTTCCAAAGGGGTTGACAAGTGTTCACTTTGTTGTATATATAACATTTCAATTGTCATTTAGCTCAGGGTTGTTGAACTGTCACATTAATTTACATGGGTGTAAAGGGATTCAAATTTGTGTGAGGATTTTAGCTTCCTCAATTATATATGTTTGACTTTCATTTTACCACTAAAATATTTTTTTAGGTGTCACAAAGTAATACTGAAATGATTTCTTTTGCTTTCATGCAGTGCAATATCATATGTGCACAATTTCATTGCTCCCTAACTATGTACTGACAGTTCAACAACCCTGAGCTAAATGACAATTGAAATGTTATATATACAACAAAGTGAACACTTGTCAACCCCTTTGGAAAACAAATAGCTAGTGACAAACCAAGTGCTGCTTTTTTAACCAAAGGCCAAGGTATGTGCTGGATTAAGCTAAATGAACAAGCTAAATTAACATTGTTATTGCTAGGCCTTTGATTTCTTTCTTCTGAGGAAAAATTATGGTTATAATTTCACTTGTTCAAAAGCTGCTCAAATTTTTGGTGTGAATAAATTAGATTGGACTGTCTATGTGCATCCTACTGGCTCTGGTGGAAAAATGTACCAAAAATGTTTATAAATACACTGGGAGTACCCGTCAAACCTGTAACTACCATTAGGCATTGAAATGGTAGGGCAGGAGAGCTAGGGGGCAAGGGTTTCACCGTTTCAGTGTTTTTCAGTTTAATATATATAAGCTAGAACTGAGTGCTAGCTTTTCCAAACTACTCTCAATATTAATAGTAATATTAGGTTTGATAAAACTTACTTTTTAACAGCTTTAATCACAGAAGATATGATGCACCCGACTACATAAAAGATAGTTCACTTTGTAACGTTTTTCCACGGATGTGGACATGTATTCATTTCATAATTCGATCGTATTGAATGCCTTCTGCCACTTGTCCAGTGTATTCCAATTTCCAATGTACATTTCATATATTGGTTAGACAGCGAGGACAAGGACCACGACGAGGCGAAGAAAAACGCATTTTTAGAGAAAATAGGGCTTCGGTGATGGTCCAATATTTCGCCTGGATAAGAAGCATCCGATAACGCTTGATTTTCACGATATTTTAGACTTGACATTGATTTAACAAATTGCGCGCGTAGTAGCACTGTAGCATGGCTATTCAAATAACATTATTTCACGTTTTAGACCGAATCTGGAAAATTCCAACGACAGAATTCAAGAGGCAGGCTCATTTTATCATACATTGACTGTTTTTATGTCAAAAAAGTTGATATCGAATGACACCACTTGTTTAGAACGGGATTTATTTTATTGCTCCTTCTGTTTACATGTTTCTCGTTCCGGGTTTTAAAGATTCCGGAAATTTTCATTCCGGGTTTTAAAGATTCCGGAGATTCTCATTCCGGGTTTTAAAGATTCCGAAGATTCTCGTTCCGGGTTTTAAAGATTCCGGAGTTCTCGTTCCGGGTTTTAAAGATTCCGGAGATTCTCGTTCCGGGTTTTAAAGATTCCGGAGATTCTCATTCCGGCTTTTAAAGATTCCGGAGATTCTCGTTCCGGGTTTTAAAGATTCCGGAGATTCTCATTCCGGGTTTTAAAGATTCCGGAGATTCTCGTTCCGGGTTTTAAAGATTCCGGAGATTCTCATTCCGGGTTTTAAAGATTCCGGAGATTCTCGTTCCGGGTTTTAAAGATTCCGGAGATTCTCATTCCGGGTTTTAAAGATTCCGGAGATTCTCATTCCGGCTTTTAAAGATTCCGGAGATTCTCGTTCCGGGTTTTAAAGATTCCGGAGATTCTCGTTCCGGGTTTTAAAGATTCCGGAGATTCTCATTCCGGGTTTTAAAGATTCCGGAGATTCTCATTCCGGCTTTTAAAGATTCCGGAGATTCTCGTTCCGGGTTTTAAAGATTCCGGAGATTCTCGTTCCGGGTTTTAAAGATTCCGGAGATTCTCATTCCCCGTTCCCCGTTCCTGGTTCCCCGTTCCTTGATTCCCCGTTCCTGGTTTTAAAGATAGCCGTTTAATTAGGGGTGTGTCATGTTGCACTGAATTTATCTAGCTAATTTCAAGATGAATATGCTGGAGCAGCAGTATGAAGCCAAATTTTGGTGAGAAAGTCAGGATTAGGGTGGAAAAAAGAAGCTCGGGTTGTTATTGTTTTAGATCAAAGACGGCTACGCCGATGCATTTACTTAGAGACTTTTATGGTGGTGCATGCCGCGATCAAATAAACTGATGAACACAACATAGCATTTGAGCCTTTGCGACGGAGCGCGAATGGCGGCCAAATAAACAAGCCTGGTTTGAAATTATTAAGGTTACGGGTGTGGCTTTTATTCATCTAACAAAACAAACCATGGATTTTACAATTAAGTACAAAATTCGTAATCATATTGACAAAACCGTAATTACACTGATCAAAAACTTCGGTGGGGCTAGTTACGCCACAGCCTGTGGCAAGCCCTCAGTATTTTACTTGGTTTTATGCAACACAGAAGTCGCATTATTTTCTGGAGTTGCAACAGAGTTCGCATTACGCGTAAATAAAGATAAGTTGTTCCACTGGTTTTTCACTGGTGCTTATGACTGTGCGGGGTTTCCTCTGCAGAACAGCTCAGCACAGCTCTATAGCTAGCTAAACTTTGGTTTTGTCGCAGTATTCTAAATCTATTTTCATATAAACTTGCGTAGATCATTCATGTATCTTTGTTTAGGTGAGTTTAAGGAATAATTCTTGGAATAATTCGAGCCGGGAGCAGTTCTTAGGCAAGCAATTGATGAATTTCAGTGCGGATTAAGAAGTGTTATTTTATGTAAACAAAGCGCCAACTTGACCAAATTGACATTCTCGCTGCTTCGCACACAGCGGCATACCCGAAGGTTTGACTTTAGAACCTTGGAGATAAAGGTATCATCTGCATATGGATGTAATTTTTTATTTCAATTTTGGTCAAACAAACGCGAATTTTGCTCCCGAACTTTGTTATAATTTAGTGCACTTCCGCAACCTGCACAGAGGGGTGGTTTTCAAGGCTGACATCTTGTCAACTAAGCACTCGATGAATTTGACATTTGTATGTTTTTATAAGTAAAAATGAATCAAACAAATGGTGAATAAAACGCATTGCCAGAGCGTTTAGTTTTGATACGGTGCAGTCCTAAATATTGCGAAATTTCGGCCTTGAAAGGGATGACCAAATGAACCGGCTCGGCACAAGAAAGTTCGAGCTTCTAGGAAAGCGAAAAAAACATATTTCCAAAAAAGTATTTCATTTTTATTAGTTCTGTACCAAACCCTTTTGATTGGCCAAGTTTCAGAGAAATTGTTTTTCTGACGCGAAATTCGACGGACCGCTGTTAGGGAGACTGCCACTTAAGATCTAATGTGCGTTGCACATCTAATGTGGGTTCTATTCCAAATCCTAGCACTATGCTTTTTTATGTTTGCAGTCATTAAATTTTGATAGAATTGTAGTTTAATTCATATTAGTTTTTACGCAAACGATATCCTCGCTTACCTGGTTTAAGACGAATTCACTTGGTCAGCTACGGAATAAAATTCTTATGGTCTGACGCAATACAATCGCGGTTGCTATCCAAGTTGCCAGTTTTACTTTGTGCAATTTGATTATCCCTTTCAACCGATTTTCTCAAAGCGACAAGGGGAATTTCATATAGCACATGGTATAGGACAATGGCAAGGGTCATTAACGCCGGCATAATTGAATATATGACTGAACACATTGTCAGTTGATGACTTTGTCCAAACGTGTTTATGCGACATTAACGGTAATAGGTTTTTATGACAGGACGAACCAAAACATGTTCCCCTCCAAACAAAGGGTAGCTTGCACATAAATATCGCACATCGAACAGAAATTGCCCGAGAAAACACGGCAATGGAGTGCTTACATGGAGTGCGTGCGACCGCAATCTCTACGAAGAAAGGAAAGTTTTGGGTTTGCAACAAAGAACAACCCTAAATGTTGTGAACTCTTTTCCCCTAATTTCCCCAAATAACTCGTTCGCTATTTGATACGGCTATGGTTATGTGGAGGGCCAATGGCGCAATTCGTCCACTGTGTGATATCCACCAAAGACCTAGCAGGATGAGAGTTGTGAAGGATGTAAGTAAACGCAACTTTGGGAAACCGTTTTTTGTTTGCTGCATGCATGCGATCGTAAAAATCCGTGTAACTTTTGGCAATGGGGTGACAGATTAGAGCTCCCGAAACCGAAGTTCCAGCACGGGTTAAACTTTTGTGTGGGAAAAGTTAAAAAGGAAGGAGAGAAAATCAAGACCGTCTGTTCTTCTGCCGCCCAAACGACAGAGAAAAATCTTGTGGCTTTTTTGAATGGAAAATCGCACCAGAGAATCCTTTTGACCAAGACCACTTTCCTCACATTCAGAGAGTTAGCCTATTACATGCAGAGTAATCCAGTGTCCGAAACAGGCTTTTCAGCGCACGGGAAAATCCTCACGAGGCATACGCTGAATACATGCGAGAATTGCCGATGACAACGAAGGCACAAACAGACTGTTATTAAGCAATCCTGAACATAACATTTAATAGATTGTATAACATAATGCATAGTGCAGAGTGAACTGACTATGAGTCTATGTGTGTATATATAAATAAACCTAAACACGTTTTTCCTTAATTTCACGGCCGTTTGTACAATTCATATGTTGAATATATATGGGAATGCCGATGGCATCACCAATAAAAGCAATAGCTTATGGAAGTTCAATAAATATATATTTCATAAATATAACGCTGCTTGCTTGTCTGACGTCTGTATTCATTTGGATCTTGTTCGTGCACGATGAGTGGTTTCGACGTGATTGTTGACGAACTACAGCAAAATCATGTTCAAATCGATAAAGAAACTTTAACGTTTCATGTAAACACTATGCTTTTAAACCACGGGGATATATTGCCGTGATTACAAGCAGCTGTACAAAGAAATAAATGTTTCAAACTTTGGTCGACTTTGTGTCTATTTAGCTTACATATACTTAAACTGCGAAAGCGAGAAAATTAATGTATATACGGCTAAATGTTAGATAATATTTCTTTTATTCCGTCTTTGCGGAATATAAGCGTTCCAAAAGCACAACCAAGCAAAAAAATGGGCGATTGTTTTAACATTTTTATGTACATGTATATAATAGCTTTGCATGTATATCAGTTTGAAAGCCTCAGGACTGAAAACCATTTCAAATAAAATTTGCGAATGCAAGAGGAAGTAACTACATTTCAGCGTTCCAAACACTGTACGCTGGGACACATAAAATGTTTGAAAATCAGGGCAATGGTATAACTCGTGAAGCATATGCAGACGGTTTTACACTGTTTGTGTTTGATCTCACTCCAGACCTGTGCCTTGCATGTTGATCATGCACAACCGATTAGAAACGGAAATGTCTCGATCGAATGTCAGTTTGGAACGTCCTTGGAGGCGGCTATAAGTACAAATATTGTGTAGTACAAATATTGTTGTAAAAATTGCACATCGTTGTAAACTTGTTCCGTTTGAGAGAATTTGTCGCCAACCCGATCGGCAAATCCCTTCGTAAATCATAAAACAGTTCACCTGGTTGAATTTAAGATTAATCCATTATAATTCTATACTTGAAATACATGCATGCAGCAACCCCTCGCTATTTCAAACCAAGTACACAATTTCCTGAGTTAACCTGACCTAAACTTATATTATGAAATGACACAAAACTCAAATCAGTCCTATTATATTTTACCGAGTATATTATAGCTAATGTTTCCATCATTCAATACAAAAATAATCATAAAGCTAGTGTAAACATTGCCCGTTCAATTACACTTTCAAAAACACTTTTTACTCCGGCTACCGTAGGTACGCCGGAGTCTTAAAACACCAGCGGCCGGAAGTTTTGGATGTCACAAATGCGACCTACGTTCATGGAGTTAACCGCTTTTTTCCTCGAACGGTTCACGGGCTCACGTCAAAATGGCCGTGGATTATAAACTTTGAAAGGATTTAAATTTTGGTTTTTCCATCAAATACTGCGACTGTTTTCCTTGGCATTAGCACTCGTAGTGCGTCGGGTTTTACTCGTAGGATTTTGGCACAATCAGTCGTTAGATCATTGGTGAATATTATAGCTTCGTATATGCATCATATACAATAACTTCGATTTTAATATACTGTATACAGGCTGTGCCTGTTTATTAACTTGATATTTTGTGGAAGATAAACGAACTGGAGAAGCTTTAACAATGTGTGGAAATTTTACATTGGAACTCTAAGCTATTAAAACTCTACAGATGTCACGTATCATTGTTGTCCCCGTTTTATAGCTCATCTATTAAAATAATATTGGTAGCAACAGCTAAATTTTGCCCTCAAGAAAGAACAATATTGCTCTCAGGCATCACAAACCCCTGCCCGGTCTCGTTATTTTGACGGACGCATGTATACGGTACGCCAACCTGTGCCGTAGCCGGAGTGTACGCCTGCCCAGGCGTCTTGTTGAAGTTAAAGCAAAGGTGTAATAGCCTTTCACAGGTTTATGCGTTTGCATAAAAAGCTGAAAATTTTACAAATAAACGGCATACAAAGCTGAAAAGTATACAAATACGGCTTTCTTATCGCGAAACAAATACGAAATAAACAAAGTAAACACGTACCCTTTCTCTTTGAAAACATTTATAAGTTTGCAGATTATGAATTATTCCTCTTACACGGCTTTGTCTTGACCGTATCCACGTTCATCTTTGCTAACTGTCATGCTTCATATATCTTGTTTCTTCTCGTTTTACTTTCTTTGCACAAAGTTTATGAAACACTTTTACAAATTACAAAAATGTTTACGAAATGACAGTTAATTTAAATTGCTGACGTTCTCATTGAAATACAAACTTTCTGTCTTAGCCAATCAGAATGTTCGTTGATTACCAGACGTTACTCGCGCATGCAAAACCACCCATGCTTACAAAACCACCCAACGTCGACCGTCCATGACAAAGAATTTGGACAACTTTGGATTCGGCTATGTTCTACCGGGTTCCGGGTGTAACTCAGAATCTCCGAGCGGAATTAGTACCCTCGCAGGCGCTCCGCGCCCGCTCGGGGAAAAACCGTTTAAAACCATTAAAAAAACAAAAAAAACAAATTACTTTCAAATTCGCTCTGCATCTGCACTGATCTCGCGAGTCACCCGCCAATGAAGCAAAAAATTTGCGGAACTTTAGTCTTTACCTTCAGACACGCGTGTCTGGAGGTAAAGTACCGCAAATTTTGGCTTCACAAAAACAATGAGGAGGTATCGTTCCAGTTATTTATTACAGTTCACTGCCGGGGTTAAGGTCTTAAAAGAGCAAGGCACGTCATGAATACATAATAGGGAGATTTAGCACGAGGACGTGAACGTCAAAGACGACGTGAAAATGGCGAATAAATGGCGTGATACATCCAAATATGGACATGCCACGCCATTTACTCGATATTTTCACGTCGTATTTGACTTTCACGTCCTCATGCTAAATCTCCCTAATGATGCAGCAATTACTTCCGACCCTGAAGTGGGGAGTATCACTACTCATGCATATAGTTTGCATTTTATTTATCTCGTTTAGATTATCCCGAAGTGTTTATCAATACCATTAGTTGCAGCTGCAAATCATATCGGTAGGAAAGTCAACAACTAATGCCGAATGATTTCTTCACGTTATACACCTCGGGAACACGGAGGAATTTCGTTTTAAACTAATCGCCATATTTGTTTACATTTTTCAGGTAAAGCCAATCAGAATTTCAGAATGCCTTAATTTTTAATGCCTCGTGTAAAATGGTATAATTATATTGCACTTTTTATCAAAATTTATGCATTCTGATTGGGTTACTGAATGTAAACAAACTTGCTGGTTTGTCTAAAACGAAATTCCCCCTTGTTCACCTTGCGCCGGTTGTTTAAAACTCTTTAAATGCATTTTGCATAGTTAAATCCAAGTTAACTCAGAAATACACGACTTTGATTGGCCTATTCTGTCTTCAATTACAGTTAAAAATTAACTAGTCTTTTATACAACTGAGCCATGACATTAAGGCCGGTATACACTACGCGACCATTCGCTGCAACACGTCGTTGCAACACGTCAACAAATTTCACTGTGTAAACAGGGAAAATTGAGCGAAAAAAAATTCTGCTCCGATCGAAATTAATTTTATTGCCGCATGCAACACGTCGCACCATCAAGACAGTTTAATTTTATGCGCCATGTTGCAGCCACGAGACTGGTCAACAGGTAATTATGGCTCTTGCGTGCAATGATATCATCATTGCCGCCCAAATGTACGCACGAAGCAACTTGTTGCAGTGATATTTGTGGCCTATAGTGCATGTGTATCGGCCTTTGAACTATTCTTAATTAAAATAATTAGTATAATGCATTAATTTTTTAAGACAGTCAACAACTTGTAGTCATGAATTCGTTTAGGCCCGATGGTATAGTTCAAAAACACGTTTTCATATTATGTAGGTGTGTATCCTGTTGCCTGCTTATGGTCATCCCTCATCAATAACTAGAAAATTAAAGATAAAGCAAGGTTAGTGATTATACCAATGGACCTTAATTAATCCTTGTATAGC